TCATGACAGTATCTGCGATTTAAAAATCTGGCAGCCTCAATAATTATGACGCTTTGGCTCAGCTATAGCAAATTGCTCATAGTTTGAACAACACGTGGTAGGAAATGAACATTGCTCGATTGAGAAGCTTGCTGAAACCGTTGTAGTGCGCGATTTGACTCACGTAGAGCTTTGAGTTTCTTGTGACCGGGCAGTTCAAATTCCTCGTAACCAATGTGAAATAAAAACGTTAATATCTTCGTTAGGAGTTGGTTTCCGTAATTTTCGTTGTGTGAATCGTTTTCCACGTGAAATTCTGGTTAAGAAACATGTATCAGATCGCTTAAATTCGTACCTTGTCTAGTGGTCCATTAAAAATAATATTTCTGACTTGCCATGAAAGTAGTCATCTACATTGAAAAGGAAATGACTTATACGTTGTTTCTAAAATGAGCCAGAAATATTTGTTACTTACCGCAAAATGTAGTCCCTGGCAAAAATTGGCGATAGGAGCTGCGTTTCAAAATTCCATAGGAATTCTTATAGCCGGCCAAAGAAGGCAATAGAAAATCATAGAGCTGGCTGTAGAAAGCGGAGCAAATCATATAGTCGGGCCATACGAAGCGATAAAAAAGTATGCAGCCGGGCTATATAGTTCCTATTGCCGGGCTTTACACTTTATCGCCATCGGCTATAAAAGGCTATAAGAAATTGTAGGAATTCGTGTGCTTTGGAAATCATTAAGTTTGATACGGAACCACCATAATATTCACAAAACACACATTGTATTTTCCTTTAATACATATTCTTTTTCATCGATTAAAATGAGAATAATCCCTACAGGATGTGCAAAAATTTCAAAATCATGAGTTGAAAAACGCTGACTTCGCAAGATTATGCATATATTGGAGCCTAACACAGAGCGGAGCTGCGTGCTGCCAGCGATAAGCGCGCACTAGCGCCTACAAACCTAACAGGGATACTTCACGCATGGCGCAATGCGTGAAGTATCCCTGTTAGGTTTGTAGGCGCCAATGCGTGTTTCGCGCTGGCTGCCCGCCTGCCGCGCCGCAGCGTGCCACGCCGCTTGAAGCAACTATTTCACACCAGAGGTATTGCACAGTATCATACGAAATTGAAGGCGCTCCAACATATTAGGAATGGCAGGCATCCTTCAAAAGTACGGAGCTTTCCGCGCAAAATAAATCAAGATACTACGGCCCAAAAATAGAGCGGTAATCCAAAAACAGTCCTAGCATCCGTAATTAGTAACATTTAGCATACACTTCATCGCCTGGCTGTTGCTCAATCGCCATCGGCTGTAAAAGGCTATAAGAAATTGTGCAGCCGGCTGTAGAAGCTATTGAAAATCTTACAGCCGGCTTTAGGTCTATGGTATTTTGGAACACAGATTCTACTGCCAATTTTTACCAGGGGTTCTAATCGTGTACGCACGTATATGCTGCCGTGTTAAGGAAAAACGCCGTATGAACCTTCATGCGTCGCCAAATCCTCTTTGATAATAAACGAATTTTCTAGTAAATTTATGAATGTTTTCCTTCTAATTTTATTTATAATTTTTTTCTCATTTTTACCTAAAGTTCCTGAAAATTTTATGGAAAGGTATTCTTAATTTTTTCAAAAATCAATATTTTACCGAAGAAAATCTGGCAACCCTCGAATGTTCATACGGCGTTCTTCCTTAGTATGGCAGTATATATGCGCCTGCGAAGTTTTAATCAATGATTCTCACTCAATTTTATAACTTATCATAGAGATCAGCAGATTTCCTTACCAAGTTCAAAACAAAAGAAAATATTACGGACCAGACGGAGCACAATCCTTCAAAATCGAAAGCAATACACACACAAAATACCGATGGCCAAAATGCGAAATCACGTATCTCCGTTTGTGACGTTGTAGACTCCGCGTCATACTTTATTTTTCCTATTGAAACGTAGTCAACTCCTAATTTCTTGAAAAATTCCTTAATTTTTCCTCTCTGCAAACAGACTGTTCTGCACCTTCAAGCTATGAAGTTGACTCGTTTCTCCTCGAATAAATAAAACGGAAGCGGAAATGTTGGCACTCTGCAATGGAGTTCCGTGGTTTCGCATTTCGGTCATCGATATATTATATAACTGGAGGCCTCGATCGAGGACAATCGATGCAATGGAGATGTTGCATGTGTGAGGCATTTGCGATTTGACTTTGATTCTTATGTAAAAGTTCGCGAGAAACACGATGATGCCACTGGTTTTCTCTGAAATCATCTCCCAAGCTCAAAAAAGCTCTCAAAGTGAGGCTAAAATGGAGGGGATATCCCACCCTACCCTGAGAGTCCACCTCTACATCAAAACAAACTCTCCATGCAAATATAGGGAGCAAATACATTAGCAGGGTTGCCGTGTTTTCAGTGGTGGAGTCCCCAAATAAAGTGGTAGCCTTGTCAATGTATTTGCCCCCTATCTTTGCACGGAGAGTTTGTCTTGATGTAGACGTGGACTTTCAGGGTAGGGTGGGATATCCCCTCCGTAGACGTGGACTTTCAGGGTAGGGTGGGATATCCCCTCCATTTCGGCCTCAACTTTAGAGCTTTTTTGAGCTTGAAAGTTGATTTCAGGGAAAACCAGTGGCACTATCATGTTTCTCGCGAACTTTTACACAAGTATAATAGTCAAATCGCAAATTCCTCACACATGCAACATCTCCATTGTCGACTGTTGCCTTTCAAAGCTCATCGGCTCGACGATCTGTGAAGGTGACCGATGTGGTTGGGACAGATCATGGATCTTATTTTAAGATTTTCCATGAATTTTGTACGCAGGCCCAGTCAAGAAATTCAAGAATTCGTGACATTTTAAGAGCCCAGCTTTTACGTAGCGAAAAGCCTTCAGACTTAATAATCTCTGATTAAAGTAGCTTGTTTTTGTTGTTGAAACGATCACCGATGAGAATGCGAGGATTGGGCCGCGCTCAGTGGCGAGACGTGAATGATCGGTTATCGATATTTCCCCATTTAAGGCTATGATAAAGAATCGATTATTAAGGTGTTCGTCGCGATCACCGTGTATATCAATCCTTTTCCATAGGTTTAAATGGCAGATCAATCGATATATCGCAATTCACGCCACGCCACTGGCCGCGCTCCAGAAGAAAATCGTCGTCTCCTGGACGAAAGAACGTAACTCCATTTCAATGTTGCCAAATTTCTCCTCGCAAATCGCCAATTAATCAAGAGAATTTTGGGCATTTCTGACTGAAAAATTCCCTGATTTTTCTCTAGATTTTAAGCCAAAAACAAACCAGTGTTGGATAAAAATTGCTTACGTACATTTTTGTAAAATAAATTAATTGTTCGAGTCGATTTGGCAACCTTGGAATGAAGTTACGTTCCTTCGTGCTGGAAACGACGAAATGTGCAACATTCCGGTCTAGCACCGTACCGCTCACCTCACCGCACAAACTTTTTGACCTTAATTGTCGTACTTCGAAAACTTCATCATATTCAATAAAAATAATAACATGATTTTTTTTTTTGGAAAAGAGGCGATAGGAAAGCATAGGAGGCACAAGAATAATTTTCTTCGGTGAAGATCAAATGGACTGCGTTAAATAGAAAGGGACCAAGCCACATCAGCTATTGCCGAATTTAATCGGACAGTTTAATTTTTTACATGGAAACGGTTGAATGGATTTTTGTGCGAATTTCTGTGAATTTTCTCCGTAGTATGAAGCCAATTCCTTAACATTTTCAAAGGGATCCGCACAAACGTTTTCTAGTAAAACATTAAACTGCCTAGTTAAAATTGGCAATAGCTGATGTGGCTTGGTTTCTTTCTGTCAAACGCCGCGGTCCAAATAAGGATAGTTACGAACTGTATTATGTTTTTAAACCCTCTGCATTTTTAAGTCCAAAAATGTCGTAACTTAATTGGTCAAGATGAACGAATGCATGCGGTCTCGTTGAATTATTCCTGCTATATTCGAGCATTATTTACGATGTACATATAGGATGCATTGAAAATGACACGCAAAAACAAGAATCCCTTCAGTTAAACAAATAAAAGAAACGCGGGAAATTTTGGCGGTCGCCATACGAGTGCGTGTTTTTTGTGCCTTGGCGACGAGCTTGGTACCACCTAGAGTAGGGTATTACCTAATATTTGTCGTTTTAGAAAAAAAGTGCTCATCAACGGGTACAAAATCCGCCCTTGAAGTACCCTAATGTTTCATACAATTATTTCGACTTCTGAGTTGCTCAAATGGCATAACCGCCCAGCAGAAGGAGCCCTTAATTTCTTGCCAGCCTTAGTAGTAGCAATTACCGTCTGTTTATTCGTATTATTATGGCTATTTAGCGTAAGGCTTCAAGGGTAAAACCACGGATAGCACATACCTCTATCGCGGTGTTCCAAAATCTCCCTCTATCGCGGTGTTCCAAAATCTCCCTCTATCGAGGTGTTCCAAAATCTCCCTCTATCGCGGTCTTCCAAAATCTCCCTCTATCGAGGTGTTCCAAAATCTCCCTCTATCGCGGTGTTCCAAAATCTCCCTCTATCGCGATGTTCCAAAATCTCCCTCTATCGAGGTGTTCCAAAATCTCCCTCTATCGCGGTGTTCCAAAATCTCCCTCTATCGAGGTGTTCCAAAATCTCCCTCTATCGCGGTGTTCCAAAATCTCCCTCTATCGCGGTGTTCCAAAATCTCCCTCTATCGCGGTGTTCCAAAATCTCCCTCTATCGCGGTGTTCCAAAATCTCCCTCTATCGAGGTGTTCCGAAATCTCCCTCTATCGCGGTGTTCCAAAATCTCCCTCTATCGAGGTGTTCCAAAATCTCCCTCTATCGAGGTGTTCCAAAATCTCCACCCGTAATTTTTTTCATTCTCCATGAGAGATACTCACTCTCTGATGATGTCACACGTTTGCTTTTTTTCTTCTGAAACTGTTCAAAAATGTTGAAACTGATCGTCATTCTAAAGAATCTAACAGATTTGTTTTGTTTTGTTTTGATTTTCTAGGGTGACCTGGCCAAGAAGAAAATCTACCCGACCCTGTGGTGGCTTTTCCGGGACGGTCTGCTTCCCAGCAACACACTCTTCTACGGATACGCCCGATCCAAACTCACCGTGCCTCAGCTCCGAGAGAAATGCGAGCCCTACATGAAGGTAAGAATCAACCCCTCTCAAGATCATACTGGCAAAGGGTGAAATAAGACCAACAGCGGTCTGATTTTTGAAATTGATCGACAGAGCTATAAGCAAAGATTACAAACGGGAAATGGAGAGATCCTATTTGTGGTAGCGGATGGTTGCAATGGACATAAAGAAGGTAGATAATAGACAATCTAACGGCAACCCACGAAAAACCCTATTACCCTCAGTGTATATAGGAACCAACCATTTCAACCAATATATAGGACCGCTCCATACTTTCCATAAAGGGTAGCATGAAACGTAAGAAAGAAATGAAAGATTGAAAATTTCAGTGAAATATTCCATGAAATTTCACGAGGCTGTGAAATATTTCATATTTTTCATGGGTTAGAGTAGAGTACCTGTATAGGGAGAGTATGGACAGATCGGTTCATGGAGGGCTTAGGGCCCAAAAGTGCAGCCATCCTTCTAACCAACTTCTAACGCACAAAATTTCACTGCCAGTCTGCAGATTCCAATTCTAACCAAGGTGGCTAAGAATGTACATAAATGAGCGTTCTTCCGCAAAAATGAGTAAATTTATGCAAAAAGTAAGTCAAATACGTGCTTTATAAACGATGGTTCGTAACAATTATATTAGTAAAGCGCTCTGTATAATTGAAATTCATAGGTTGGCTGCATTTCTGGGCCCTAACTTTATTCGCGGAGACATCGGTGAAGGCCTGATGGATTTTCGGAGTTTCACATCTGTCCATACTCTCCCAATACAGGTACTCTAGGTTAGAGTATGCAATCCGCTCGAACACACGAAAATAGAAGAAAGTCGCGATTTTTACATTTTGCGAAACATGAAAAGGAACCGGTATTTTTCAATATCTTTCATAAATTTCTAAAATTTCATGAAATATTTCACTTGAAATTTCAAGATTTTATTTCTCATGAAATTTTGCCACACTGTCCCTATATCTTCTTTGTCTATAGCTTTGTCTATCAATTTCAATAATAAGCCCGCTGTACTTATCTATTACGTTAGGAGTTTTTGGAAAATACCTTCAGGTTATAGTTTAGGACTGTTTCCCAGACGAAGGTCTGAACTCAAAATAAACGCTACTAGTTCTCTCTTCAAATAGATAACTGTTCACTCGGTGGGAAGCTGGAAAATCTACTTCTGGACGAGATATTTACAAGTATTTTCAACACAGAGCAAATGGAAGTTAAATCATACAAATGACGTTACTTCTATTCTTACAATGAACCAATGTTAATAGTGAACACTCATATCGTGCTTAGGAGTCGATTTCCAAACTTCCCGTCGTGTGATTGGTTTTCCTCGTTCAATTTTGAAGAGAGATAATGTAGTATGGTGCTTCAATTCATAACTTGTCTAGAGGCCCATTGACTCGAACAATTCAATTTTTTACAATGACGGTGCAATTCATCATTTCCCTGAGTTTTGCGTGTACTCCGAAGAATCAGTGAAATTGTCAGTGAAGAAATACCCAACCGCAGTTTCCTCGGAAAAATACAATGGGCGAGTGGAAATATCGCAACGTTGAAATGCAGTTACGCTCCTTCGCCGAGGCACAACAAATTGTGTCACGAATCACTGAAAAGTGTCATGTTAATCGGGAATCTGTTACTAAAGGGTCTAAAGATTTAGGAAATCCCGTTTTTTGCGCAATCTTGCACAGATTTCAGTTCCGTCGAAGAAGATCGATTTTAAGACAACTAAAGATATTCTCGTGACTTCTACGATGAAAAAAGCTCCCTCGTAATTGAACCGATTATTTTCCAAATCACGTAAGAGCCAATCTCCATTTTGGTGGTAAAGGGGTTGTTTTTTCTGGTATAATCAATCATGTCTGATTTCGAAAAAGCCTTCTAAAAGAACACACCTATATTTTCTGGAATTCAAAGATTGTCAACAAAGCGAATTAGAGTACCTTTACCTAAATGGGCGACAATGTAAAAAACGAAAATCATCAGAAAAGTGCCGCTGGCAACCTAGGTATGCATTTGAAATATTAATCAAAGTGGCTGACAGCGCATTGTAAACAAGCGTCTTCAAGGATGAAGACTTTGAAATTGAGAAAACACATGCGAAATCAAAGTTTTATACGTGCTTTCATAATTTTTGATCAGTGTATAAATAGTTTTATTTTGAAGATTAGTACCACTGGATAATTCGAGTTCATAGGTTTGCTACCTTTTTGGGCCCCAAGAGCTACACGACCTGATCAAACCTAGCCTCCAAATCGAGTTGTCCATACTCTCCCTATAAAGGTACTCTAAAGCGAATAAAACGGGTTTTCTTATTTTTCTCGCATTCAAAATTTTGGCACTTGCGTGATTTGGAAACTAATCGGTTCAATTTTGTAACACTGGATCTGGGAAGAATACCTGAATTCTCTCGAACATCATGTTTTACTTTGTATTACGTGCTGAGGCTCGCGACTGATCTTTTCATTTGGATGAAGACAGCGAGCAATCGTTTTATTGTTATCGGTCAATGTCAACTGATAAAAAAGTGAAAAAGTGGAGTGCAAAGTGGCGAGAAGAAGACTTGGGCGCGCGAATTTAAGTGCTCGCTCTTTTAATCTCGCGCCACGAGCGGAGCCACGTCGAACAAGAAAATGATACGAAGAAAGCTCTCCCTTGCTTCAGAAATCCGCCGCATTAACATCCAAACGTTGCCAAATTTCTCATGATACAAAGCGAAGGTTTTAGAGAATTTAATGAATTTATGTGTGGGTATTTTTCCTTGCATTTTTCAGAGTTTTGCGCAATTTAACGTATAGTGTGTCTACAAATTTAAAAAGAAAGAAAGAAAAAAAAATACTCATGACTTCTCAGAAAGGAATGTGTTGTCAAAGGAGATTTGACAACCTCCAAATGTCCGTACGGCGTTTTTTTTTTTTTTTTTTTTTTTTTTTTTTTTTTTTAAGCAGGGCGAAGCTTGAACGCATTGAAAATATTCGCTAATAATTTAAGTTTGATTGGCTTCAAGAGGACATTACAGGTGGATTCGGATATTTCGAAAGAGGGGGTGGATTTTTTTCTTGACTCTACCCACCAGGGCGGGGGGTCTAGGGTGTGTAATTGTGTATCCCTTAGGGGTATTTTTACGCTTTTTCCGTAGGCTTACGGGACCTGACCACTCCTCCCCACCCCCATCGGAATCAAATTTCAGTCTAAAAATCACAAACATCCTGGAGATTATAGCTTGATTTTTCTACATTTAATTGTACAGCTTGCAGGTGAAGCATAAATTTTTAATTTCCACAAAAGTTTCCACTAATAAATGGATTATTACTCAACTTTAAAACACTCGAAAAAATCTTCAAGTCGTTAGTTTCGCCAGCAGGCCGGTTCCTCTATTATGTATATCTTCCTTTCTTCCTTTTGCTTTGTAAATAATCGGAACAATTACCTCTACTCCGATAATTTACTGTAATCCATCAGGATTTAATGGAAGTCAAGTGATAATCGGGAGGAAAATGAAATTCAGTTGTACGTACCAAAGAAAATTGGACTGCGAGTTTGAATGGTTCATGCTGTAGAACGAGACTTTCAAGTGAAACGAACGTTGTTCAAGGATTTGAACATTACGACGTGAAAACACCCTCTCCAACTTGACCACATACAATGTATACATATCGTGGGTACATTAATTTATTGGACGTACCCTGGTAAAAATTGGCGATAGGAGCTGCGTTTCAAAATACCATAGGAGTTCTTATGGCCGACTAAAGAAGGCTATTGAAAATCATATAGCTGGCTGTAGAATGCGGAGGAAATCATATAGCCGGGCTATACGAAGCTATAAAAAAGTATACAGTCGGGCTATAGTTCCTACCGCCGGGCTTTACATTTTATCGCCATTGGCTATAAAAGGCTATAAGAAATGGTGTAGAGATGCGTGTGCTTTGGAAATTATTAAGTTTGATACGGAACTACATTATTATTTACAAAACACAGATTATATTTTCCTTTAATACATATTTTTTTTCATCAATTAAAATGAGAATAATCCATACAGGATGTGCAAACATTTCAAAATCATGAGTTGAATAACGCTGACTCCGCGAGATTAAATATTAGAGCCGAACACAAAGCGGAGCGACGACGCATTGGCGCCTACAAACCTAACAGGGATACTTCACGCACGCATTGCGCGGCGACGCATTGCGCAATGCGTGAAGTATCCCTGTTAGGTTTGTAGGCGCCAATGCGCGTTTCGCGCTCTCTGCCCGCCCGCCGCGCCGCAGCGTGCCACGGCGTCTGAAGCAACTATTTCATACCAGAGGTATTGCACATTATCATTAGAAATTGAAGGCGCTGACTCCGCGAGATTAAATATTAGAGCCGAACACAAAGCGGAGCGACGACGCATTGGCGCCTACAAACCTAACAGGGATACTTCACGCACGCATTGCGCGGCGACGCATTGCGCAATGCGTGAAGTATCCCTGTTAGGTTTGTAGGCGCCAATGCGCGTTTCGCGCTCTCTGCCCGCCCGCCGCGCCGCGCCGCAGCGTGCCACGGCGTCTGAAGCAACTATTTCATACCAGAGGTATTGCACATTATCATTAGAAATTGAAGGCGCTCCAACATATTAAGAATGACAGGCATCCTTCAAAATTACGGAGCTTTCCTCGCAAAATAAATCAAGATACTACGGCACAAAAAGAGAGCGGTAATCCAAAAACTAACTAAGTCCTAGTATCCGTATTTAGTAACGTTTAGCATAAACTTTATCGTCTGGCTGTTGCTTAATCGCCATCGGCTATGAAAGGCTATAAGAAATTGCACAGCCGGCTACAGAAGCTATTGGAAATCTTACAGCCGGCTTTAGGTCTATAGTATTTTGGAACACACATTCTACTGCCAATTTTTACCAGGGTATTTATGCTAAAAAGAACTATGTCTCACGCAAACCCCATGCACATAGTTCCTTTTAGCATAAAAACGTCCTATTAAAAGGAGGAAAAATAGAGGGATCCGGATGTTTAAAAAATTACGATTAAATTGCTGGCATTGATAGTGATACCTATTCTCTCAAATTCCCCTTACTGACAAAAGTATGGCTGAACGAGTTGTTTCTTTTTTTAAAAAAAAAATAAATATCAAAGTTTAGGGGCTTCGTGTTTTGCGAGTTAGTAACGATAGAAATCTATCAATTTACAGGGTTGCGAGGGTCAGGGAGAATTTGGAAAAGTCAGGGAATTCGAAAACAACCTGAAAAGTCAGGGAAATTCTCAAGGTTGCGACTTAACAGCTAAAACCGCCATTGCGCGCCGGTGCAGCGCGTCAGCAACGCCTAGTTCTCGGGGAATTTATGCCGCAAAAAGAGTGCCGTGAGCACTAGATTTCTCGATTTGTGCGTTAGGTCAACTTGAAGGGATCAAAACAGTAACAGTTATCTGCTCTTGATTCGTTTTTCTCCGCCTTTTCGTAGATTTTTCCTCATTCAGGCATGGAAACATATCCAGGCAGCATCTTCGATGTCTTTCGGTTTATTCGCAAGTTTCAACTTAATATATACCAGTGCGGTGCCTTAAAGTTTGCATCGCTGTCTTTAAATCACCCCTTTTCTCTTGTTTTTTTCGTAAGCAGTTAGGGGTAAAGTCAGGGAATTTCAGCACAACGGGGCCAGGAAATTTTTCCAAAAAGGCAGAGAATTTTGAAATTTGATTAAACTTGCAATCCTGGTTTAGAATAATCCAAGATTTCCATGTATAGAAAAAAAAAAAAAAAAAAAAAAACTTTTTTCAACACTCCAGCTTCCACAACGGAGTGGACTGGTTGTTAGGAGATTGATTCAATCGTTTCCCGTGCATTATTTCGATTGTGACGGGCCGAAATAACGGCGCTCCGTGAAGTCGACTTGAGTTTCCGCGGTTTTGTAACTGTTACAATACCGCGTCCTTTACCATCACCCTACATTGCGTGTCTGCGCGACAGGAAATGTATAAATTAATTAATCAAATGCCAGGAGTTTCAGAAATTGAGTAAATAATTGGTAGGTTGTTGTTTGTGAAAACAGGTTGTCAACACGGAGCCCGAGGCGATAGTTCAATATTTACCGATGGAATTCGTGTCTTGCTTTAATCGGCCCCACGCGACCAGAAGTCGCTAAGTTTCGTTTCAAATCATTTTTTATTCTTTTTACAAATAATCTTCTCAATTCAAGTTGAGTTTGAATAAGAAAATAAATCGAGGCTCCTTCAAACCCTACTGCTGAAGTAAATCTCAGTAAATTTACCACTTCCAGGCAGGGCCGGATTAGCCGCGGGTCTGAAGTGCTATAGCCCCTCTGCGGCTCGATCGTTGAATCGATATCGAATGGCCTTGATCGATATGAAGCATTGCTAAGATAGGGATTTATCCATCAGGATCGATGTTGAATCGATATCGAATGGCCTTGATCTATATGAAGCATTGCTAAGATAGGGATTTATCCATCAGGATCGATGTTGAATCGATATCGAATGGCCTTGATCGATATGAAGCATTGTTAAAATAGAGATTTATCCATCAGGATCGATGTTGAATCGATATCGAATGGCCTTGATCGATATGAAGCATTGTTAAAATAGGGATTTATCCATCAGGATCGATGTTGAATCGATATCGAATGGCCTTGATCGATATGAAGCATTGTTAAAATAGGGATTTATCCATCAGGTTTATTCGATAGTGATTCAACAATCTACCCGCTGGCCCCCGGCCCCACGGACCTCCCACGAACGGTTTTTTGCTATTATTATTTTCAATTTTTTTGCTCTACGAGTTATCCGAACAAATTTTTGGGGGCCTCTTAGAGTCTTGGAAATTTTAAAGAGGTTCTAAAATTGGGATTTCAGGGATTGTGGGCCCTTAAAGTTTAGAATTGAGGCACTCTGAAAGGAAATTTTGAAAACTTGAGACTGGGATTTCGACGAAAATTTCTTCTTTCTCTCTTGGCTAGGGGATTGATCAAACCATCCAGGGGCCTGCATTTCGGAAATTGTTTCTTTGTCGGGGGGATTGGGGGATGAGACCAGAATTTTCAGGACCCCACACCCGTAAAATCAGATATTTGGAGAACCTAAGACTGGAATTTTGATAGACTTCAGGAATTGTTATGATTTGTGCGGTTCCTCAAGAACTACAGCTCTTTTCACCGGGGCCCCGAGGCTTCTAAATTAGTATTTTTTGATCTCCTAGCACCAAAGTGTGAGCATCTTGGGCCCTCCGTTTCTTTGGAAACGTGGATTGCCTTCAATTTACAAAGTATACAACCTGCAATGTGCGGACCCTTTTATCCACCAGCACCGCAGGTCCTGGAGCGCTAACCCAGCCCTGCCTTATGAAGAAAAAAACTTCGTGCATGGGACCCGAAGTTGAGGTCATATGGATCTCTGAAGTTTTCTGATCACGCATCCGAAAACTTGAGGTCGAGCTGCCGAAGTTCGGGTCAGACATCGAGGCACTTCGGTATGTACCGGAGTACTTCAGATGTGTGACCCGAACTCTTCGGTATATATCGAAGTACTTCAGATGTCTGACCCGAACTTCGGCAGCTGGACCTCAAGTTTTTAGATTCGTGATCCGAAAACTTCAGAGATCCATATGACCTCAACTTCGGGTCCCACGCACGAAGTTTTTTTCTCCGTGCCAGGAGAGACTGCGCAGAGCTGAGAAACCTGGAAACAGGGGAAAGTCAGGGGTAAATATCTTAGCCAAATGTATCAGAGATAAAACGGGAATGACTACATAAACTTAAAACTTTTTGGGAAAACCGATTAATATCACTTACTTACTTATTTTCTATAAGAAAATTTTCTTAAATTAAATTAATTAATTAATTAATTTAATTTTTCGTTTTTCTTTTCTTTTTTTCTTAAGCTTATGTAGTAATTTGTGTATACCTAGTGCCGATAAAATTTTACAACCGTGCAATATGCAACAACATAGTGAAAACGGGAATGGCATCTAATTTAATGGGAATGATTGATAACGTCTTCCCTTCCCCCTTGACCGAAAAATGTCCCTACAAACGTCGTTTTTCGTGATGTACGGGAATTTTTACTCCTAAGCCCGTTGTATGAGAAATCATGACTAAGTTGACCCCCCATCCCCATAGCTGGAGGAGTGACAAAAACTGTTTGATTTTCAGGTGAAGGAGGACGAGCGGGCCCGACACGAGGAGTTCTGGGCGCTCAACTTCTACGTGGCCGGGAGCTACGACACGCGGGCCGACTTCGAGAACCTGAACCAGGACCTCATCAGCCACGAGCCCAAGACCGGGGCCGCCAACCGCCTCTTCTACCTCGCCCTCCCGCCCTCCGTCTTCGAGCCCGTCACCGTCCATATCAGGAACACCTGCATGGGCACCCAGTAAGTCACACACTATACCATAGTCTAAACTCCTGTCCTAAGGGAAAACGCCGCATTAACCTTCAGGCCTTGTCAAATTTCCCACGAGAAAATAAGAATTTACAGGGTTACCACAGTCAGGGAAAACCGGGAAATGTCAGGGAATTTTTAAAAGTCAGGGAAAATGACAAGAATGACGAAAATTTCGGGGAAAATTTGTTTAATCACCTTCATTTGCTTTCTAGAATGGGTTTGAGATTTGGAACAAGAAATTTTGCCCGAAAACTATTATCAATTATGCCTTCTTAACCATCCGTCACATCTTCAATTCATTGACGGAGAATTTCACCAAAATGTGTCCGGGTAATCAGGGAAATGTGAGGGAATTTCTTTCCCATTTCAATTCTGTAGCAACCCTGATAAGAGCGACTCTCATACCGGATTGGCTTTCCTTCGTTCGATGAAGTGAATGCTCTCTTGTTTTATTTCAGACTCTGATTTTCTCTTTTTTAGTGGCTGGACCCGAGTTATTATCGAGAAGCCTTTTGGAAAGGACGCCGCCAGCTCGGAGAAATTATCGCAGCACCTCGCGTCCCTGTTTCCCGAAGAGCAGATCTACCGTATCGACCACTACCTCGGCAAAGAAATGGTCCAGAATTTGATAACTTTGAGGTCAGTACATACTCTCATCAAACGGCCTTTGCTCAGTCGTAATTTTTTAGCATCGGTGCAAAACTTCCAGCAGAATCGCCGGATTTCACGGGTCTTCGGCTTTTACGCGCTTGTAAAGCGAGCATTTCTGCTTTCGGCCGTCGGCAAATGGCGCACAGTGAATCGAGTCAACAGGAGAGGTCGGACAAAATTTGGAAACTTTAAACGCCTATAATTCCGTTTATACAAAATTTTGAGGTTCTTAAAATGGTTCCAATGGTTTTCTCGTAAAATTTTCTCCTAGAAACACCCCTTGAAATTTAAAATGTGACAAAATTAACATCAAAATTTGCAGTTTTAGCTAAAAATTTCATGGCCGACCTCACTAATTGACTCGATCCACTGTGTGGCGCGGCATGCAGTGCGATTGAAGTCGTCGCGCCCGTGCGTACAAGAACCGCCTTCAATTTTGCTTGATACTTCGCGAGCGCCACGAAGCAAGTATTATTGAATGGCATCTTGATAAAATTCCTTCCAACGCGTTTTGCGGAGAATCATTCGCTCGCCGCACTTCAACCTGCTTCAACAGCAAAATCTGGAACTGACCCTATTTCATATGATCTTAAGGCTTTAAAAAATTAAAACAGCTGAATTGTGTTCTTCACGAACATAAATTTCACCGTTACAAACTTATTTGCTTATCATTACCTGCACAGCTCAACCTTTTCAATACTGAAGCCGGAAAATATTTGGGGCATACTAGGTGTCTGCTATTTTTTTAAAAAAAATAGGAAGAAAAGAAATTAGTGTCAAATCTTTACCTTGAAGGTAATCCCAATTACATCCTGTACCACAGAAAACAAATTATGTATCCATGGAAGTATAATTACTCTGAATTTGTTGTAAATTATTTCAAAGCCTCTCAAGTACCCATGAAAAAAGCAAGATACTCCCATAAAAATATGATACCTATCACTCTTTTTTTTGCAAAAGTCACCCCTCATCATAAGAAATTCTAGTCCCTACAATAATATAGAAGTGTATGTATCAATTTTCTGCAAAACAACTCATATTTAACAGAGCAAAGAAAATAAAATAGTATGTTGGAGTGAAATAAAATGAAAAAATGAGCAAAAAAAAAAATTAAATATTTTTCAGTCATACCTACTTGAAAGTTTAACATAATTGGTAATTCCAAAAAGAGGAAGAAAAAACTTTCTGAAATGTTGTTTATTTTAATTTTCCTTGTCTGTTTATTCGTACCGCCAGTAGCTCTAAATATGTCTCTGATTTCCAGGTTTGGAAATCGAATATTTTCTCCTGCATGGTGTCGCGAGTTTATTGCCTCCGTCCAGATTACATTCAAGGAGCCATTCGGAACCCAGGGTCGTGGTGGTTATTTCGATGAGTTCGGAATTATCCGAGACATCATGCAAAACCACTTGCTCCAGATCCTAAGTTTAGTGGCCATGGAGAAACCTGCAACCATCCACCCTGACGACATCCGGAATGAGAAGGTCAGTGCTGTCAAGGGAAGGGTCCCACTCATGTTTGAAGTCAAACCATAAGTTCCAAAAGTATTGTGTGTTGATCAATACGGAAAGATTTTGGAATTAAGTTGTTGTGACTTCTGTCCTAAGCATGGCTGTCCATAGGAAAAGGAAACTTGGTGTTGGAAAACTCAATGAATGAACCGTCTTGACACGTGGTCTCCTCCAATTTCAGTTTAATTCTATGCTCAGCCCCTTATTCAAAATATTTCAGGTTTTGCTCTGCGGAGCGATTATTGAAATAATATCGACTGTATGTCGCCGCTTTGTCGTGACGCGTAATCGACTGAGTGGCACTCAGTCGATTGCGCGACACGACAATGCGGCGACATAGAGTCGATGTCATTTCAATTATCACCCTGCTGGGGTCGTTCATTGCCATCTCACACAATTAAAAACCTTCGGTTTTCAAATTTAACCAACTTTTTGTTTTTCAAATAGTTTTTCTTTTTTGTTCTTTTGAAAAATTTGATCAGGTAGCTGATAACACCTCTTTAGGGCTTTGGAGGTTCTGGAAAACTTGGAAAGTCATTGAACATTCTGCAATCCGGAAAAGATAGGTAATTTTGCGAGTAACTCATCGGCTTGGCCACTTCAGCTGGTGCAAAATTGAAAGAGCTCACACAGTTTCGGAATGCCTTTTTCCGTAATTTGAATCCCTGGAAGTGGGAAATTCAAAGAGCTCTGAAAGAATCAGAGAATTCGGAAGTTTTGGGGTCAGGGAAGTTGAAAATGAAGAAATAATGAAAATCCTGCTCTCTTTCTGAAACCAACAATTTACCTCTTTCTAAAGGTACTTAATGAGCTTGTGTCTTTGCTATGTTTTCAGGTGAAGGTTCTTAAGTGCATCCCAGAGCTGAATGCAGAGAACGTTGTTTTAGGTCAGTATGTTGGAGATCCAAATGGAGAAGGAGAGGCAAAACTGGGCTATCTGGATGACCCTACCGTTCCAATGGGCTCTAACACGCCGACGTATGCTCTAGCTGTCCTCAAAATCAACAATGAGCGTTGGGATGGAGTTCCATTCATTCTTAGATGTGGGAAAGGTAATTCTTCTCTGCGCTTTGAACGCAAGAGTGGTTCTTGAAACTCTCACAATACTTGAGTCATTGATCGTAGGACAAATACAATGTTTTAGTGTATTCTCATCGAAAAATACACTATCGTTTTTATTTTTATATTGCCACCGCACTTTTGAAAAAAAAAAAAACACCCCTTTAAAACAAGTGCTAATTTGAAGAATAAAATGGTTAACATTTTCTAATTTTGGATGCCAGGTAAATCATCCATAAGTTTAAGCGCATAACTATAGATTATAAAAATAGTTAGTGATACTGAAGTAAAATTGTCTTTTCTCTCATATTATTCTTCATAAAGAAAGAATTTTAAAAGGTGGAAAAAGAAAAGAAAAATTGCATCTGTCAATATTTACCTCTATTTATAGTTTTATAATTATTCCTCTTTCATTTCATAATTATTCTTTAAAATTTTACGTTCACATCTTTGGCTAAACTGCCTGAACTGGCTTAAATTTTTCAATTCTGACAACAAAGTTTTGCAATTATGTGATAATTCAGCTACCAATGAGTTTACAGTTCATTATTCTAATATTATTGAAGAAAATCAGGGCTCTTAAGGGCCAGGACAACTCAAGAAATTTAGGGAGTAGCCCCAAAAACCGAAGCTTTTTACAGTAATAATGGACAAAAATTTAAAGTTTTGGCTTTTTGAACAGTTTCAATGCAAAATGTGTGTCTCTTCCCCCTTGACAACTCACAGAGAATTGAAAAAATACCCAGAAATAAATAAGTCATTCAGGAAGTTTTACAGACTCCAAAAAATGGTCATATGTCTTCTCTTCTACTTTCATAGACAAAGAAAATATTTTTTAAAAATTTTTGAACCTCGATTCTAATTCTCATCCGTATTTTCATTAGTTTTAAGACTCTGTTAATTTTCCACAGCACTCAACGAGCGGAAAGCAGAAGTACGAATTCAGTACAATGATGTACCTGGTGACATCTTTGAAGGGAAACCTAAACGTAATGAACTCGTCATTCGAGTGCAGCCAGGCGAGGCAGTATATGTAAAAATGATGACAAAAACACCAGGGATCTCCTTTGACATGGAAGAAACAGAGCTAGATCTCACGTATCACAGCCGTTACAAGGTTTGTCTCGTACTCACCACAAATCTACATTGACCTGGTTGGGCACCGGATAATATCAATTCTCTCAAAAATGCGAACTCTTAGAGGAAGGAAAATTAAGTTACCTTCACATTTTGTATGGCAAAAAATATGTCTTTCAATATTTCATCAAATTACAGGATTGCTTAGAACTTGATTTGGAGGCCTTTTAGAAATTTTTCCATCTTCAACGTGATGAACAGTATTTATCACCGTGTTTCATCGTATGCAATACGTTTAGACCATCAAATAATAATGAACATTATAATTAGTTATAAACAAAATGAACAATTGTACCAAGAAAATCAAATTAAAATTAAAATCATTATAAAATAATAGAAAAAGTGATGAGGTGAGTTCATTAATTATTTTGTTTATCTTCTGATCCGAGAGTAATCTCCAGGAAATTACAACCAGACTTTGAAAAATGTTGTCACGAAATTTAAAGGCAAAATATCGCTTAGTTTTTGTCAAAGAAATGACAATTAAGGAGATACAACTCACAAGACAATCTGTGTTAGAATTAGGCAGATTCTAGCTGAAAGTGTCCTGATGATCCCATTGCATCTACTTTATTTTAACCGGTTCTATTTTGATTTTACTCTCAGCATAGTGTTTTTGTTTACATCTTTATGATATTTTTAAAATTTATCTCAGAGCTCTGAGAGACGTTTAAATGAACTGTTAGTTATAACAGAGAAACAATTATTTTCCAATAGGGAAAGGCATTTAATTAGCTCTCGTACTTGCTCTTTTTTGGACTCTTTAAAAGAAACATTCATCTCATGCTTTTTTTATGCTTTTTTTCAGGGTGCAAAGCTTCCTGATGCATACGAGAGGTTAATCCTGGATGTATTCTGTGGCTCTCAAATGCATTTTGTGCGATCAGATGAATTACACGAAGCGTGGCGAATTTTCACGCCCCTTCTTCACTCAATCGAGAAAGATAAGATTCATCCAATACCGTACAAGTAAGTTAACACTTGACTTTTTTTGTCTTCTCCTTATTTTTCTATGCGATTTTGAATGCCATGCCTCCTTTTTCATACCAATAAGTTATTAAAGTTTGCTTCAGAAGTTCACTCTTTTTATTTACTTGCACCAATAGCAGTTATTATGGTATGATGAGTATGTAGCAATTTATATTTTAGCAATTGACGGCTAGAATACCATCTTTACTTGTGACTATCCACAAGAAAAGGGCCCACCAAAACTGGAAGTAAAGTTATTAATACAAGAGCTTTGAGGAATGTTCTACAAACATTTTGGGACTTAAAATGCCTGAATTTTTTGAAAGTTTATCTTTCAAAAGACGTAGGTGCAAGAAAATCTATTCAAACTTCTAATAAAGCATGTTCAAGGACTGGAGTTTCCATACAATTGAGCAACTTTACACCATCTGTTTGCTCCAAAATGGACTAAACTGCTCGCTACTTGTTCATAAGGGCACGAGAGAGTTTCTCATCGAAATCTCAAAATACAATTCTTCAACCCAATAGGACAAAAATTGATCCTCTGAATACTTCACTTTTTGAGCTAAAATCCTTCTCCTCATGAACTGTCATATTTGAGAAAGTGGCTGAATGAAAATTTATGTATTTCTTTTCTTGCTTAAGGTACGGTTCACGTGGCCCGCAAGAAGCAGATGACCTTTGCCTCAAAAACAATTTCAAGTATTATGGCTCCTACAAGTGGGTGCAGCCAAAACCATGAGTCCTGCAAGATGAGTTCTCACACCTTGTGGAGGGCCATTGTTGCCCACTCTTTTCAGAACGTACAATCATTACGAGTAAGTTGTTCATAACTTAGCCCATTGTGATATTGTTTCGTCCAACTACTTAAATTATTCACCCTGCAGAGTTGGGACCCAAAGTAGCTAGTAGTATATCAAGAAAGCAATGTCCATAGCTTTCTTTTTGTTTTTTGCATTTTGAATCTTAAACAATGTTAAATATTCTTCCCCCTCCCCCCCTTTTTTTTTCAAATGAACTTAATACCCAATACTTAAGGCTTCTACAGACTCAACTTTCAAGCCTTACTTTCTTATGATACGGCTCTTTGGGTCACAAACTTAAGCTTTTTTATAGTAAGATGTGAAAATATTTTGTACTCTGGTTACCTTTAATCCTGTAGAAATAATAATTCGTGCTTTTTAAAAATCTCTCCTTTCAAATGCGATTTTCTTGCAAAGAAATGAGCAGAAGGGGAGAACTAAAGTATGATATTTTGATTTCCATGTATCCTACTTAATTATTTTGTAATCCCTTTTTTACAATGTTAGAAGCACAGTTTGTGTTGAGTTTATTTTTATTGTTGAATATTGAATTGTGTCATTTGACGTAGCATTGCAACTGTATTTGTTTACTTTGAATCGTTGTATCCTCATCTAATGTGTTATTTCTGATCATAGTGGACAATTTTTCAAGGCTATTAAGTATTTTTTCCTATTTATGTTTTTTTTTTATTTATACTTGTGAAACAAAACCAAATTTTCTTGTGTCTGAACATTCCAATTTTTTTAAAAAAAATTGAGCACTGTTTAAGTTAATTGCTGAAAACTGAGGAATATCTATCTTCATAAAATGAAGTGATTTAGAGGGCTTTGAAAAGCAAACGTTTCCAATTGTGCTCTTTTCCCTTTTATCTCTAACTAAAGAAGTCTAATTTTTTTGCAGTGAATTCTGCTCTTGTCGATGCTACATTCTTAGTAGGTACCCCCGTCCGCTCTTTTTTTAAATCATTCAGAATTATAATTTATTTTCGGTTCCTTTTAAAGTGACGCAGCAGCATTTACCTTCAAATTTAAGTGGTATTGACAAGAAAAAAAAGTTCCTTGCCAAGAGTGTAGTGTTTTTTTCTCAGATTTTAATCACAATTTGAAATGAGGCTACGCCTCCCACTCCACTTTTCCCTTCTTTTTTTTCTTGCAAGTTGGCGGCATTGAAGTATCAAAAATAGTCCTGAGCATGGGTCTAAATTTGCTTCTTAAGCATTCGTCTTAATTTTCGCTTTTATCCCGGTAGGCATGCAAGGACATATGCAAGGAGAAAGAATCCAGGAACATTTTTAAATGAGAATATTTAATGTTTTATATATTTTTTCCACTGGAGCAATAAGTGCATAACCTCAGCTTTGAAGCTTCCAGGAGTCGTAGCAGATTGTAAAGTTCAAGTTCCAGACAAGAAATTAAATTATTTATGAATTAAAGATAAATACGAAAACATGACATTCTTCGAAATTCTTTCCTGCCATGAACTTCCGTTCACTAGAGAAAAACAACATCCGATTCGAAAGGAATTTTCTAAGAAACCATTTATTTTTGATAACTATTGAAGTGTTGGTCCTGTGCATAAGGAGGTGGTTCGACTTTATAATTTGACCTTTCTGAGAAAATTATGAAGGGTCTCTTCTTTCAAGATAATTCTTTAAATGAAAAAAAGTTTGTTCTTTCCTCTCAGTTTTATTCGTTCTGTTTAGTAATATTTAAGTATTGCAACCAACCATGTACATTGAGCCTTTCAGCAGTTTCAGCTATATTTTTTTAAAGTTTTGTACGTTTGTTCTCCTCAGTTTTTTGTGTTCAAATGTTTCATTTCTCTGTTTTTTTTTTAACAATTGTTAAACCGTAGAGCTCTGTATCATCTCAGTCCTTAACTTCAATAGCTGATTCAACGGAATGGGCTTTATAGTTCAATCAGTGTTTTTATTTTTCATCAAGGAGTTATCAAATTTCACATGATTTGACAATATTGCACAAATGAAGATTTTTTTCTTCATGATGAGTTGTGTCAATTTCTCGTTTACGAATTTTGAGGAGTGCTTATTACAAGAACTTACACTTAAAAATCTTTCAAACCCTCGCTGCAAAAATTATAATTTTAAGAACAAGCTCATTAAATTTCTGTAAATCCTGTTGGGAACTGGTATTTTTGATTCCTAAAAAATTGTATTCAGCATTTAAAAGCGATTCTCTGTTTCCTCTTTTGTCAATCAATCTTGGATGCTGCAGGAATCTTAACACTTAATTTCACTTGTAGTCAAATTAAATCACATGGTCTGTGTGAAATTCCTGGAATCCAGCAGCTCTGCAGAAACTGCCCCTGTGGTTTCAGCCACATTAATTACTGATTCAATGTTAACAGGGAAAATATTGAGATATTCCTCCATAAAATGTTATTTTTTAAATAAAAAAAATAACAAAAAAGAAAAATAATAAAATCATGAAGCTCTCTCTAGCCAGGAATTTCAAATGGAGAAAGTTAACCTAAAACAGCAAGAATAGAAGGGAAAAAATTATGCGAAAATTGCCAATAATTTTTCAATGTATGTAAAAATTGATATCTTGATAGAATGTTTACTAAAATTTTGTGGTATTTTGTACAGTTGTAAGTCCCCTAAAAGGAATATTATCATTCAGTGATTTTTGCATTTTTATTTCTCAAAACATGTTTGAATCAGCAAACGTAGCAACTCTTAAAACAGTCGATTTTCACTTTTTTACTTTATTTTTCTAGGTATGTCTTCTTTTTTAGTATTTTTCTATTTGAAGCTTTCCCCGTGACGATAGTTTTAAAAACGCTTTAACTTTTTATGCGAACAAAAACACTAGTATAATTATAAGTATTCGTTCTTGACAATACCAATTACTGTTATTATTCATCTGGTTGCATTTGTAGGTTTCCAGGTGAATATATAATAATCATTACAACACTCACTTACTTAAAAAAGGTCTCCTCACCGGAAGTTTTTGCAGTTGCATCCTACATTTCATCTCCTCTCCATGTGAACATTTATTCCTAAATTTATATTTTACAGAAATCACTTCATACCTCAAATTTTTCATTATCATCATAATTAATATGCTAACTTTTAGAATGCTTTTTCTGATGCCACAACTGACTGGTTTTTTTTATGGGTATGTTGATGAGAACCAACAATTCCAATATTTTTCCTGTATTTGGTTGTTTAATTGTTCACTTGTTAGTTTTCTTCGTAATTTGCTGAAGCAAGCTGGAGCTAATAATTACAAATTCATCAAATAACGGAAACTTCTAATCAGTCTTTGTGGCATCAGCAGAGACATATCTCCGGCTAGATATAATCACTGGTGTGGAAAGCAATGTGTTAATTTTTACACCATAATAATTATCAAAGATTATTTTTTAACTTCTTATGTTTCAACACTCAGTGAGCTTATTTATGAGTACCACTTTTGTAAAAATGTATTTTTAAGTCAAGAGGATCACTCATGAAGCTCTTAATTTGATATGAGGCTTTCCAGGCCATGAAAATTTGTGGGTAATTTTCTTTGTCTCTTCCCCCATTCCTAATTGATTTTTAGGATTTTGACTGTATAAATAAACTCGTCATTTAAGTGAAACTACTAAACAAGAAAAATTAAAGGGGCATGAGAAGAAAAATTTCCCTCAAATAACTTCAGCATGAAAAATTTATCGTTCATACCTAATGAAATTAGAATTTTCCAAATTGTAGATGTTACCTCTTGAATACCAGCAGAATGAGGGTCCCAAGCAGGCTAACTATTCAGGGTTAAACATTTTTGAATCAGCGCTGAATCTCTAGGTTAAAAGTCTCAAATTCATGCCCTCTTTCGAAATCCAGATTTTGGGCTAACTTGGATTTGGAATCCAGACCATGAGTGATGGTTTTGATTGGAATCAGTTCAATTGCACCCATACAAACTTTTTCAGATGAACATTATTTTAATGTTCCCCAATTTCCTCTTATGTTTTTTTTTAAATAAAAAAATCAAACAACATTCTAGTTTGAAATTTTGTGAGCGTTTTTTTTAATCCAGAGGAAATTCGCAGTAAGCTCCGAACTCCATTTTGCTTTTATCTCCGTTGAACAAATAGCCTATGAGAGGTAATTAGGTAAGGTAAAATTGTCACTTTCCTGCTGAAGTATTACTAGTGCCAATCGTCCTTTGACACTATGTTGTCAAACTTCTCCAGTGTTTTATAGAAAAACTAATGAAGAGAACCCCATGAAAGTGTTACATGATATTTTTTTTTTTTTTTTTTTTGTCATCAAGATGAATTCTAGAAATTTGTATAAAAGACTGTGCAAAATGTTTAAGGGAGAAATCAAAAGAACATTGAAATTTCGGGCAACATAGCGTTTGAGCAAAAACGGCGCTTGTGACACTTGGACTGGAAAGTGATGAAACACAGATGTCGATGGCCAAAAAGCAGAATCATGTATTTCCGTTTGCAAAGTTGCAGAGTTCCTGTCAGACTTAATTTTTCTTCTGAAAACCAACCAACATAATCTCTTGAAAAATTCTCCGATTTTTCTTCTGAGTCAGCAGAATATACTGTGTAAATTTCAAGCTATGACATTGACTTGCTTCTTTTCGAAATACACGGTTTCGCATTCTGGCCATCGATCTGCTGATTCTAGTGGATGCTATTCAAATCCAGCTCATGTTTACCTCAATTTTGAACTTGATACTGAAAAGCTGGTGAGTGGTTTGTTGTTTTTATGAATTCGATCTTGAATATCTTATTTATTGTTATTTAATATGACACCAAGTTGACGTTTTAATACAATTTCATTTTTATTTGTATAACAAACTGTTGAATTTAAATTGATCACAATGCAATAAAATATTTTTGTAAAATAACTTTGTCCCTTGTTACTACCCTGAAACTTCCTGAGTGATTTACAGTGTATTTTAAAAACTATTTTAAGAGACTTGGCTACTGCTTGTCACCTCGTTTTCATGAAATGCCTGCACCGCAGCTTTTTTTTTTTTTTTTTTTTTTTTTTTTTTTTTTTTTTTTTTTGATCAATTAAATCAAATAATACATTTTACAGGGGTCATAGTTCATAAAAAATACCAGCATGAATAGAAAGGGAGAAGAGCTAAGCACTGCATATTCGTAAAGGGGATCCAGGTTTGTCTTACAGGACAATAAAAAAGATGGAAAAACTGTGATATGCCATACTGTAACAAACTAGGTATATGTATTATCATCCTTTCTTTCCATTAGAGCAAATATCAGACCCTCATTAAAATAAAGGTGCTTGTGTTGAACGAGGATATGAAAGAAAACATAAAGGGTATATGAAAAAAAAAAACATTTTATTTTGACAGTAGAAAAAGGACAGAACGGTCAAGATATTTCAATCATTCATATCACTAATAGGAATTAAACCTGCAACTCATTGCAGATTGGCCCTGAGCAGTGCTGAAGGATCTTTAGCCTGCTGGAATATTTGTTTTGCAGCGAGGAGGACAAGCTGTGTCTAAGATTATTCAGCTGGTATTGGTCTGTTTTGAGATCATAATACTCAATGAAATTCTGAAAGAAAAAAAAAGAAAAAGTTAGAGAAAACCTATCAGTCCTTCACGCTATTATTTTTATGACCAGAGAATAGGGGGCCTAGACAACAAAGCACATACGTGCATGCAGTTTTTGCTATTTCGAGAAATATGTGTTTAAATTTTCAAAATTACGAAATTGGAAAAATTGGAACTTGGAAAATTGGAAGGCCAGGAACTTTCTGCATTCCTGATAGCTAGTATCATGTGAGAAAACAAGGGAAACAAGAAACATTAGTGATCACAGCTAGGTTACAGTAAATTTTCTTACCTCTGAGTCTTGAAACTCACAATAGGAGAGATCATCAGTTTCACTTATGGACCTTAAGCAAAAGTAAGTGTTGTTGCGAGCGTCTTGACATTTACAATCATTTCTAACACGACACTCCTACAGGAATAGAAGAATAAAATACTGTAATACAGCATGCCTAGAGGTTATAAAGTAGATACTGAGGCAAAATAATTTCAATTCAAGAATTCTTTATCCAAGAAGTCCCAGGCTTTTTCTCGAATAAGATCCTCTTTTGATCTGAATGAACAATTTGCATCTACTAAAACCTGCTTTTTGCTATCAACTTTTGACAAGGGGCCATAAAACCTTGTGCAGATGAAATTCAGAAATTGGGAAAATAAGGATGCTGCTTACTTTTAGCTTACTTCTTACGTCTATGCTCTTTCTTTATTTCCTCTATTTTTGCTAGTCAATACTTTCAACTCATTTTAATAAACTATTGCCCTGCCAGCTAGCCTATACAAGCTGCAAATCAGCTAGAAATAGCAATGAGATTGAGAAAAAATATGAAACCGAGACTCTCCTAACAATTTCCTTCCAGAACAGATAGAGCATGGTTGCGACTCTTGCAATTATACAGCACTGATTTTTATTAATATGATGAAAAAGCAATGCCAGTTCAGGCAGTCTACTTTGAAAATTATGTTTTCCCTCTACATAGGTACATTTTAATGGCCAAAACTCAATTTTGCTGACTGCTACAAATTGGACCGCACGTTGCAATTAGGAACTACAATTTCTGACCATAAAAACGCACATGTTCAAACCAATGGTTTATTCCTTGTTTTGTAGCCAGATCTCCTAATTCCTAATTGCAAAATGTAGTCCAATTGCTATTTCCTGAACCAGATTGAATCATTTTCGATTTCATTTCCTGCCTTGTTATATAGGTTGCTAGACGTAAATCCAGTTTGGTTTGACATTTGCAAACATTTTTTAAGCCAAAATGTCCGCAGAGCACTCCACTTTGCTCTGATATCAATTACTCGAGTTTGAGTCTTCATGTGTCTACCATTGAAGGTTACAATTGCCAATTTTGATGAAAAAAAAAAGAAAAAAAGGTTTTACAAGGTTTTACACTTACTTTTAAGTTTGGGTCTTTTAGGCCACATTTCTCATCGATTGACTTCCTGTTCCCTTCTCCATGATACTCCACCAAAAATGTTCGAGGTGAAATTTTATTTGAAGCAGTTTTCTTCAACAAAGGTAGCCAAGAACTGCCATCCATTGAGTCAGGTGTTGAAATCCCAGCAAGATCGAGAATTGTGGGAGCAAGATCTATGTTTACAACCGGACTGTAGATGACGGATTTGGGCTTGATGCTGGGACCGCGAATAAACAGTGGCACACGGATGTCAAACTCATATGGCTGACGCTTGTCCCATGGAAGGCTGAATTGGCCTGCAGAAAAAATTAGTCTGACAGATAGCATTTTTCTCTGCTACAAAGCAATTGGAGCTAAAAGTAAAATGTATAACACCATCAGAAGTTTCAGCAAATTTAAACAGAGGTTGATCTACATTGGAAGTTTTGAAAAAAAACATAAGCGGACAACTGCTTAAAACTAGTGTGTTACAGAGGTGCTCACCCAAAATTGGAAGAGAATCAATGGCGTATCGTGCTTTGCAATATATTGATTGATCTACCATTTCAACAGGATTCAGAATGCAGGACCAATGTTTTGTAACACTTTTGGCACCTGTGGTTATGTGATTTTAAGTTTATAACCTGGGTTCCTCTCAAATTTTGACCCTGTTTTCTTCTGGGACAAGGCAGCGAAAACTTTAATACCGAAAGTTTTCAAAGGAAGTTCACATTTCACTCACCTAGGTGGTATCCGTTGTCTGAGGTAAATATTATAACTGTTTCTTCTACCACATTAAATTTCTTCAGCTCTAGCACTACTTTCTCAACCATATCATCAACAGACAAAAGCGTTTCTAACCGGCGAGCATGGATTGTGTCAATCGTGTCGACCATAGAGTCAGGCAGAGGCATGTCACCTAACCGCAGGAGCCAGTGTTTATCCTGGAAAAAAATCGAAGTTAGTTGACAGTTGAATCCAACAAGGTCAATCTTTTGTCAGTAAGGAAATAACTTTTTAGTTGCACTCACATGTATTTTTAAATCACAGATAGATTTGAAAATCAAGGAAGAAATAACCAAATATAGAAAAGAACAGTCAAATTGTCTTCTGTGAACTCGACTGGTCAATTGACTGTCAATTCCACTGCCAATCAACTGGTCAAATGTTTGATAGGTTCACCAGCCGTATCTTCAGAGCTTTAGACCAATGAACAGTCGAATGGGCTCTTGATAGAGCAGTCACATTGATAGAAGATTCATCTGGTCAATCAAAAGAAAATTTTGACTGGTTGATCAAAAGAAAATTTCTCTGACCTTCAAAAAAACCTCCACTTGTATTTTTTTTCTTCTTGATTACGCTGTCTTTTGCTATACTATGGACAGAATCTTCACTTCTAGAGATTCAAGATAAAAAAGGCACTCTGTAGTAGTTCAAACTCTCTTGAATGGCACCAGCGTAAGTTGCTGAGCATTTTACTTGTAAATTCCCAGATTTCTCCCATAAATTTCCTCACTTTTCCAGGTCGTCATTCATTCCCTGACCTTTCTTGACTTTCTAGGTTTATTAGACCGCCAACGACCCTAAATTAAAGCATACAGAAGCTTTTCATTGTAGCTATCATCAGGATTAATAAAACACATCTGAATCAAGCAATAAGTAAATATATATTTTTGGATAAGATGATGATATTGAAGCTAAGAAAAAAAATTATAAATTATTTGAAAATATCAAATCACAGCTCTCTTGCTCTATAACTAAATGGCAGTGGATTGAACAATGTCTTGTTAAAGAAAAATGTTCGTTGCAACAAGCAGTGCTCCATGAAAATAGGGAGGTTTGTGAAGGATGGATCCTTCTCTATAGAGACATTTTTGATAAGACCGGTGTCGTTATGGAGAGAGAGTACTGTATTAAACATTATTTTCTCCTCGCATTACTGCTAGCGAGTGATCTGAATAATTTTCTTATTGCTTCATGTAGATGTGTTCGATAGACACCAAATAGCAAAAAAAGCATCTGACAAAATACATTTCTTGACATTGGTTCATGAGTGGAATTTGTTTAATGCTGAGACTGACCTTTGTAAACGTGTTGAAATTCGGGGTGCGTGGTGCTTTAGTTCCATTAAATCTCCCTTTGTATTTTGATTCTGGAGTAAAAGGATCGTGCGGAGCTGAAGTGGCCAGGACCATAAGAAACTTTTCTTTTTTCATGCCAACTGATTGAAGGAATTCAATTCCACTTGACTCCTAGAACAAGTACACAGCATGAAGGACCAATGAATTATACTTGCAATGAAAAAAAAAGATTTCCAACAGAATGGATGGATGTAATTGGTGAATTTATGAGCAAGAAAATAGACAGAGGGAAGAAAACTAAAATGTACTGAGTTCAAATATCCTTGAAATGAAATATTAGTCTTGATTCCTCATTTTCATGGAGGGTCACAATATGAATTTGAATATTATAATTAGCTCCGTTTTTCCAACATTTTTTGTGTTGTATGTCCCATCAGGCCTAACATGTTTAACCTACGTAGCAACCACATAAGTTACTTTAGTGGTGGATAGCCAGATTACTTACGAAACATTAACCTCAATATTTTAAGAAAATCCTAAATATTTTGCATCCATGAGCAAAGTCCATGAGCATAAAATTATTAGTTAGTGTCTGTAGAATTTATTTCAACCCCCTCCTCCTTCCTATTTCTTAGAAGGGAAAAAATTGGCGCTATCCAATGCTCATAAGCAAAAATTCTTGGAAATCGACGTAATCAAGATTATTAGAATGCTTTCAAAGGTAAAAACTTACAATTACAGAGGTAAAATAATCATTCTTGAAATGCTTTATTTTTCCATTAATCACAAGAGAATAATCATAATACTTGGAGTTTCCAATGAGACCATACCATACATCCCAGCCTGGTGGGATAGGGTTTTTAGTCTTGTGCGCAGACCCATACTGGAGAAAAAAAGAAAAATATATGATATTACTCCTTGAGCCAAATAATTCTCAATTTAAACAAGCATCAAAACTAAAGTGAAATTTTAATTAGTAAAAATTATTACTTCAATTATTAAACAAATATTATAGAAAAATATTAGCTTTTCTTTTGGGAAGAATCATCAAAACTGTGAAACACAAAGAAAAGACGGATGAAAAGTGTCTGGTCTGGAATAAACTAATACAAGAGCCTAGCCTGGACACAGCAGGAAGTGTTTCATTTGTCTCTTTTCTTATTTAGGTGTTCTCAAATTCAAAAATTTACAACAAAAACACGTATCACAATTGCCATGCATAAAATCTCCTGAGTACAATAATCTGCTCACAAAACCTTCTCAGAACAAAGTATTACTGACGCCAATTTTATGGTAGAAATAATATTTTCTTGAACTTTCAGTAAGTTGAAATTTGAAAAAGTATGTGCCAAAATTCATGTCCCTATAAAATGTCTCATTTCTTATTGCAAATTGGTTTTTGTGTTTCCTGCAAAATGAAAATTATGGCACTTGTGATATTCTTTTTGGAAAGGTATGATTTCAGCTTAAGCCACAAGTAAAAATGCGGTTTCCTTTTTCTCCAACTTAAATATAAAATTACCTGGTTCAAATATTTTCCAGCATAAAATGTTTTGTAACCTGCAGACTGTAAGTAGACAGGAAAAGCAAGAGGTTCTTTGATAGTCCTCCAGTGGGCACTGTAACAGCCCCCTGAGCGTGAGTTGTTGAAAACACCATGATTGTGGAGATACTGGCCAGTTAGGATGCTGGAACGGCTGGGACAGCAAATTGGTGTACTGCAGAACTGCAACAAATTTAACTTTCAATGAACGTTCTTCATAGAATAGATTTAAACCCTTCTCACATGTATAAGACAGTGGAGAGAAAAGCAGCAAGTATTACAGCAAAATTTTGGTTTTTTGGCAGCAATGCTTACGTTTGCAAGGTCACAAGGATACAAAAATTTCTATTTATATTTCTTGGTCCAACTTCAAATTTGGCTCACCAAAAAACATCTCACTTAAAGGCAAAATGAGCGATGCAATTGTACAATTTTACCCACTATTTTTTACAATGATGGGGAAAAAGGATGAAAAAAAGGGCTATCACTTTCGAAATACTAACTCCTAGTGCAAGACTTGCGTTTTGCTTGCCACTACCTACGAATTTCAACATTTACCAATTTTCGCCCCTTTTTAAGATCTATGGCAATGACTCAAAGGTGCGCCGACTCAGAAACGATTTTTGTCTTCTTCAAGGATAACTTACAAGAAACATAGGTGCTTGCAAGGCCAAAAATTGACCAGGGCTTCTTCCAGATGGTTCAAAATCACATGCATTCAAATGTAGAACTATGCTCAGTCTCAATTTTTTTTATTGTAGATAATTTTTTGAGGTTTCAGCAGAGTATTTAGAATTTTAAAGCCCTGAGGTATAAGTCTTAATGAGATGTATCAAAACAGTTTGCATGCAAAAACTCTGAATACACTTCAAGTGAGCTTGTATTTTTATGTTTGGTCCTAATTTAGATTTCTCCTGAAATTGAAAAATATAATGGAAGGATTTATTCTACCCTTAAATATCATTCATTTTTTCAGGAACTAAAATGAGTATGCTTGTGGTCAATATAATGTGACTGATAATGAACAAGGAACATTCTGAAAAGAAAAATACGCCTTATACAAGAAGACTGGTAGGAATCATTGAGCTGAAGCAGAGGGTGGCAACCTGAAACGCTTAAACATATAATACAGTCTAGACTACCCACAGGACTTTTTAGATGCAATGATAGATAGGAAACCCAGATTGCATGTTGTACCAGAAAATTCAAGGAATCAGTGGCACTAGGGTGTGCGGCATGCATACAAGTAATGGGCAGCACTTGGTACTATATTGAGATCAAATTGCAACGGTTCACGTGAAGGCATTTTTACCCCCTTGTTACTTTACCTCTCTCACCTTCAGTCAAGTTTCATTTATAATCTAGATTGTACTATATATCTAGGCTGAAATGTGACATCTACGCTGCTTGCCCTACCTTATAATCCCAGAAACATTACAGGAGTGGTATTACTTACCGAGTTAACAAAAGAAGCTCCGACATCTGCGATGAGTTTTTGAGTTTTGGGCATAGAATACTGGAAACAAAAGCAGAGATAATGTTAGATGTAGAGTTTACGCTAAATTACTTCAGTCTGAAATATTCAAGGGTCAATTTTCTTTGCTTAAATTGAAATTTTAACCCTCCTGCTAATTTTGGACAAAATAATTACCTTCATAGATAGGAATTATTTTTGAAAATTGGCTTCGTTGTACAGTTGCTGTAATGATTTCTAGCCAAGAAATGAACATTCATTTCAGAGAACACAGCATTTTTTAAAATACTGAGTCGATACAACCTTGAGAGTAAAAAGTGTATGGGGAGCTTTTAGAAGAAGAGAATACAATGATAAATGCCTTAGTTTGATGAATGCAAACTTTCAAACATTGAAAATTCAAAAGATCTTTGTAGAAACATTTAAAACTTAGTAGACTTTCAAAATATGACATTTGCATAGACCTATGATAAAATGCCTGATTTGACTATTTGCCTGCAACATCTACTTAAACAAGATAAATATGGATTTACAAACAAACTAATAAAAATAAGTAAAAAATTCATGCAATTTCTCCCTTACTTTCGTCTTCAATTGTCACTATAAGTATTCTTGGCTAGCCAATGTAAACTGTTGCTGAACAAAACCACAAGCAAAACCATGACCCTCACAACCAAACAGCCCAATTTTGGCAGTGGCACAGTTAGCATTGGAAGTCCTAAAAAATGGTTAAAGTCCAAATAGATGCTTTGATTATTCCAAAAGCAACTCTCCATAATTGCATTAAGCATCCTTTCCCCAAAAAATCTGAAATGATTCACAGTCGTTTTGGCATCGTGACATTCAATCAATACTTACAATGCTTGAAATATCTTGATCGTCTGTCAGGATTAAAACTATGTTGGGTTTATTTGTGGCGGAAACATATATGATACAGACTAGAAAAAAAATGAGGAGCATATCTAACGGACTGGAACAGCAGGCATAAGCTCGACTCCACGACATTCCCGCGCAATCTTAACTCCAATAAATGCAATGCCCACACTTTTCACCAAACTCCTGAAAATAACAAAGAAAAGAAGAACATTATAACGCTGTGACAATTGTCGCAGGCTTTAACTTAATCTAACAAAAGATCAAGGTTAGTGCGTGCTCTTTTCACCATTTAGTGAGTTTCTTTTGTTGTGTTGAAGATATTTTTATAAATCCATGGAACGCGATGGATCGGGATCCTCTACAGTTCGGACCAGTTCCATAGCGTTCCACACGGAAAAAACAGTTCAGAGAGGGTGGTTCTACGTTTGTTTGTGTTTTTTTTCATTGATTCTGGCTTGTGCAAGTTAGCATTCAGCATGATTGCAATTTCAACACACCTTGGAAGAGCAATTCAAGTGTTCGACTGGAACTTAAGGAGCAGGCTGGATTACGCCAGTAGATCAGAATAAAAAAGTGAAGCATTTCGTCGTATTCCACTGCGATCCTCTGAGGTTCAGATAAAATAGAAGCCCTTATGAGTGCTGATAAAGACTCTGCTACCGTATGGTTTTGGTGTATTCTCCAGGGCTAATCTCTGCCCCTAACCGAAGTAGTAGCCACGGCTGGTTCCGGTCTCTTAGAAAATAGATAAATTATACTGTAATTACTTACATTTAAGATTATTGAAGTGTATTGTTAATTTCTGATTTTTGAGTACCATTTATAATAATCGTGTAATAACTATTTTCTTTGAATAAAAAAAAAAAAAAAAAAAAAAAAAAAAAAAAAAAAAAAAAAAAAAAAAAAAAAAAAAAAAAAAAAAAAAAAAAAAAAAAAAAAAAAAAAAAAAAAAAAAAAAAAAAAAAAAAAAAAAAAA